TCCCTGGGATGGTATCTCCCTTCACCCTTTCCCTTCACCCGTACACTCTCCCGCAATCCCTTCCAGTCCCCCCCCTAGGCTCCCCGCCCCGCCTTCCCGCTCCCCCTGATCCCATTGCAGAGCGGCCAGGGAGGGAGGTGAGGTGCAGGCGGGGTCCTTGCCCCGGGACGTGCCTTCCTAAGGCGCTCAGGGAGAAGCTGTGCGGGTCAGACATCAGGGCATCGGCCTGAGTCCGGCCACAGCCCTGGGTCGTGTGAAGAGCCGCCTGCAGTCTGTTTTATGACATTTACTCCCGGGCTGAGCGGCAGTGAGGACAGAGGGAAGGCCGTCATTCAGTGTCCGCTGCAACAGGCCGGGAGGCGTTTAAACATACGTATTAGCTTCATGCTGAATAAATAATCCCCCCGGATTCATGTTTATTTTACATAAAAATAGAACATTGCACTCTTTACAAGACCAGTCACTTTGCATATTTCTTTAGATAAATGACGGACTTCAGCCTTAAAAATAAAGGACTGAGTAGCAACCCTTTTCTAATGGGACTCATTGAACGCTCTCAGTAGAAAAGTGAAAGCAGACAGTAGCTGCAGTTTTTTAAAACAAGCAGATCACTGCAACGTGAACAGGAGGAAGGTCGCCTCCGCCTGGGCCGGAGCCCCAGGTCTGTGCGAGGCAGTGGGGGCGGCTCCAGGCCCGGCGGCTCCAGGTCGAGGCCCGGCCCCTGCTGCCTCTTGCATCCATCCACGCGGAGACTCAGGAATCGTGCTTCCTGCAGTTTTTACGCAGAATGTTTTAGAAAGTCTGGAAGTTACAAAGTAGTTCTGTAAACACCGTAGGAGTCACATTTCACACAATCGCACCGGTATTCTCAGGCAGGAACACGTGTGTATCGTGTGGGCACGTGTCACTCAGCTATTAGTGTCTTCACAGCCGATGCAGCAGCTCCCAGTGGACACACGGCCGCAACCAGGGGGGAGGCTGTTCCCGGAGCTCTGGGGTTCCGTCCAGATGGCGGCAGCGCTGGGCACACAGGGAGGTGTCCCCACTGTCGCTGGAATTCTCAGGCGGCACCGTTAGCAGAACCAGAGTGGAAACGGTCCCGCGGGGTTGTCCAGCCTTTTTAAGACAAAGCGAGCTGTCACTTCCCTGGGGGGAAGCCTCCTGCACGTTGGCCTGACGGCTCGCCCGGCTGTGCACGCCCGGCAGTGGAGGCTCCCGTGAGGAGCGATCACCGGGTTTCCATCTTCGTGACTCGGTGAAGGGCAGGCAGTGGCTAGTGTTATGGGTTTTAAACAGGATTTTTATGGAGACAGAGGTGTCTGAATCGAGGCTACCCCTGTTCTCGTGGGTGGAGATCAACAAACTCTGGGTCTGTTTGAGCTGCGAAGGCCTGGCAGCAGCTGCTGTTTAACAGAGTCGTTAGTCGTCTGTTCCGGTGGCCAGCCAGCCCGTAAAACGCCTGGTAATCACCAAGTCCTGACTTCTTGACCTTTTACTTTCCTTTTTTTGGGGGGCAGGGGGCAGGTGGTGAGGAGTTATCTCGGCATAGACTGTTGGAATGATAGAAACGGGGGGCCATCTCTTCCGTAGAAGAAAGTTGACGAGTGTGACTGACTCACGGAGGCCCCAGTCCTGCGGGCCGTGCTCGCTGTCACCCTCCCGACCACCACTTACAGCGAGACCCTCCGCCCAGCGCCCTGGGAGCTGCAGAGGTCCGTGCAGATGAAGAGGTTTTATAATCATCTGGGAGGTGTGTTTGCTCATCGTTTCTTCAGGCTCAGCCTCCTAAACTGAAGCCACAGATCCTGATGGAGCGCCAGGCTCTCGGACGCCCCCCGGCCCTCAGCCGGCCGCGTAGCTGCTCAGGAAGGAGCAGAACATGGGCTGCTTCAGGCGCTGCTGGTCCTTTCGGCACCAGGCGATGACGGTGCCCTCGCTGTTTGCCGTGTACAGGTGGTGGCCGTCACAGGAGAAGGTGAGGCTGTGGGAGAGAAAAGCCATCTGCACGGTATGTCTCTAACACGGGTGATCACACGGGGATCTGGGTGGAGAAGTGACGCTCTCCGCATGCCTGCCACGGCCACGGGTCCGGCTGATTGGCATGTGGTCCAGGGCCCCTCGGACACCTTGGGGGCTCCTCCCACAGGCGATACGGAGCAGTGTCGGCTCCATCCCCTCCTTCCCCACTTTCCTGTTCCTTCCTGTTTATCCTTTATGACGTCAACACAAACACTTGGGCATAGGAAACTTTAAAAATGTAACAGTTCTACCTTTTCTCTTTAGAGAAATAAATGATTATTTATGGAGATATTTAATTTCACTTAAATATAAAAATAAATTATTAACTTAGGGTCATTAAACTGGAAATTTAGCATACTGAAAATAAATGTATTTAATAGGGTAGAATTTGACTTCCTTATGTCTAATTGAGTTTTCAGTCGGAGGAGGGGCCGAGCAGATCGGTCCTGCCAGGGATGCCCTGGGCCGTCAGTCACGTGACCATCTCTTCAACAGGAAGGAAAGACATCGCTTCCACTCTAGGCCTTTCCTGGCCCCGCCCCGTGTGCTGATGGGTTAGACTCGGCTCCTGACTCAGATTTAAGCTCCACGAAGACAAGGACTGGGCCTCCTTTGGCCACTGGGGCCGGGCAACCTGGGGTTTGATAGGTGTTGGCTGTTTATGAAACTCCCATCACAGATTTCTTTAGGTCTGTGTGTGCTCATGTCCAACAAAATACACTCACAGAGCCCAGTGTGAAGCGAGGGAGGGAGGCTCACCTGACGATGGGCTTGTTGGACTTGGGAAACGTGATTTCCCGCACAGGCTTCAGGTCCCATGTGCTCCAGAGCCTGGAGGGGAAAGGCGCCACAATTATGCCAACGGAAGTCCCTTCGTGAAGAAAGCCCACCTACTTGTTTGTTAAAAATCACCCAGAAGGAAGCACAATAAACAGCAGCAATTACTTCTGGGAAGTTTGCGGGGGTGGGGATGCAGTAAGAACACCCCACTGGGTGTTAACCTTTAACGGTTAACAAAGAACAGAAACTTATAAAAATGCAGTAAAGCTGTCTTTTAGAAATAAAACACGAATAACTGAAGGTGACTTTAAATTTCCAATTGCTACATATTAAGATGCCTGGATATTAAAAACTTCTTTCTGAAGCTGCCGTGCCCGTGGGAACAGCAGCAGCCACCGCACGCGCCTCACCTCACGGTCCCGTTCTCCAGTCCCCCCGCGATCACGTTGATGGACACGCCCTCCGGCTGGTTGGAGAAGGCCACGGAGCAGATGACCTCTCTGCAGTGCACGTGTCCCACCAGGTCCCCGTTCACCGTCCAGAGCCTGAGGTCACTGCCCCCGCCAGCTGAAACCACAACCAGCGCCGGTCACCGAGGTGGCAGCTCCCAGCCGCCCCCGGGCCTGAGCTGGTGCTGGTGCTGGTGCTGACAGGCAGCTCCTGGCTGCAGACGAACAAATGAAAGGACTGCCTGCAAGTCACCTGGGACTCTGCATGTTCATCCAAAACCAACGAGCAATAACAACATTAACCTGCAGTCGAGAGCAGCAGGCAAATTAACTCTGACTCATATGTCAGCTCAGGACCAGCCACACCTGGACCTGAAAGGACCAATCAGAAAGCTGACCAAGCCCCAAAAAGGGAATATCTTCTCTGAGATCATCTGTAAGAAGCGACCAGTGTGACTCTGAAGAAACAGTGTTGCTCTCGATTACCTGAGTTAAAGCTAATGCTTTTATTTTTATTGCTGAGAGAATTACAGGTGTCCCCCAGTTCCCTCAACTGGGGCCCAGGGAATGAACTGCAACCCGGGTACATGCCGTGACCGGGCATAGAACCCGGCCCCTGGGTGCGCAGGCTGACGCTCCACCGCTGAGCCACACCGGCTGGGGGCCTGATTGCTTATTAATACACATACATGCTATTAACAAAGCATTCGATCTGGAAGGACTGAGAACTGCACCATCAGTGTCACTGTGACGTGCCCAGCGGGCTGAGGGCACTGCTGGCAGCGGCCTGTGCTTGGCCTGGGGCTGGCTCACCTGAGTCACACACAGTGGCGATGTCGCCTGTCGTTTCGCTGGCCGAGACGGCTGTGACCGGGCTTTTGTGTCCTGCCAGCGTCTGTACATAGCACAGCCTGAAAGACCAAAACCATGAATGTGCATATGAACATGAGGTATAATTATATGCTGTCATTTGTAGAATTCTTTCCTTCAGTACATGTACTAGTATTCGTAAGGCATTCCTAACTGTCTTCCTCACGGATCTTCTGATTTCGATTCCATGACAAAGCCTGTATTCCGTGAGAACTGGCACCGTTCGCCGCTGTGCGGGCCCGGGACCCGCGGTACCTGTTCAGGTCCCAGATGACGCAGGTGCCATCACGGCTCACGCTTATCAGGATGCTGTAGGGTTTGCAGACAAACAGGCTGGTGACCTCCTCCGTGTGCCCATAGAGGTGCACCTGGGACTCCATCTCTATCTCTGAAGGCTGACAGTCAAAATGAAGGAAAATGTCAGATAAAAGCAATGACAAAAGGGGTCCCAGCATTTATCTCAAAAATAAAAACACCCGCCGGACCCGCCACACTGCCCAGACCCGCCACACTGCCCAGACCCGCCACACTGCCTGGAACCGCCACGCTGCCCGGACCCACCGCGCTGCCCGCCATCCTGTTGGCATAGGCGGTGATGACGCCACATCGGCTCCCGGTGAACAGCTGGCAGCTGTCGGGCACCCACGCACAGCTGGTCACCTTGGGAAAAGACAAATCACAGATGATCGTGTTTAAAAAGCATCAGAAATGCTGCTACTTTTCTGACGACTATTTTCAAAATATATGATCACAAAATTTGAGGGAAACGTTTTACTTGCAATGATTAGAATGGTGCAAAGATATAAAGAGAGTATTCTGCAACTTTAATCAGGTGCCTATAGCTGCTTCCAAATTAAAATGTTTATACACCTACATTTTTCTATATACATACACTTAGACGCGCGCACACACACACACACACACACACACACACACACACGGCCATTTGTTCCTAATTAATCAGAAAACGAAGACAAAGGGACAGCAGGACTCTCATCTCTGATGATGATGAAGACGGTCAGTGCGTGGTCTTCACGTAATATTCTAACGAACCTTCTCGAGAGCTAACGACTGAACAGTGTGTTTCCAAGGATGGAAACGAGGCCCCGTATTCTCGCCCAGTCAGCTACGGTGAAGTGCTTCTCACACAGCGCTTTGCGGGAGGAGCCTGGACCCTCCCGCTCTGCGAAACGGACTTACGAGCATATTCCCGCGTCGTTAATGATGTCTGTGTGCCTAAGCTTGCATGATGGAAGTAATTTTGCAATGCTTACATTCTTATTAAACTTTCTAATAAACGTGCTTTTCACCATCCTTCCTTCTTACTTTTGTTCGTTGGTAAGCCAGATAACAAAAGGCGAGGGTGACTTTTTCCAGGTGTATTAGGGTTAAGTAAACAAGTCATCGCTCTCTTTTCCTTCTCTGCCAACAGTTCCCCAAAGCAGTGGCTCCATCACGGCGCTCAGGGAATGGGGTGCTTGTGGGCACAGAACAGGCAGCAGGTGCCAGGTGGGTGACGGAGGTCTGAGCACAGTGAAGTACCTCCCCGGAGAAGGCAGTCAGAGAAGGGAGCTCCCGTGCAGCCTAGGAGGCTGGGGCCGCGTGCGTGTATGCACTGTGCACACACAGACATCCTCTACAATAAGGAGCTAATATGCTCATTAGACCAAACAGCAGAACGACCGTTGTCTGAACAACCTTCCAGACAAAGCTGGGACTGCGAGGGCCGAGCCCCTTGCACGAATTTCATGCATCAGGCCTCTAGTTATATATAAGACAGTTTCCAAAGGAACTTTACAGATGTTAGAGACATCTCACAACAGCTCGCGGAGACAGCAGCGGAATCCCTCTTCCCAGTTTTGAAGAGGACAGGAACTCAAGCTCGGGAGGCGAGTCACTTGACAAAGCCAAGGCGACACAGGAAATAACAGGCCGGGACGCTCCCTCGGGTCCCAGTGAGACCCACGCTCCTTCCACCGCAGCCTGACGCCCAGGTACCTGTCCACTGGGGGAGCGCCAGGTGTGGAGGGTGCACAGGGCAGAAGGCAGGCGGACGCTATGAGGAGAAAGCCATGCTGATTCTGTTCACACACCGTGCCCTAGGCGACAGCTGAGCTGACCACACGTCTCCATGAGATCCGGAAGCCCCGAGACCAGGCAGGCACCCAGCGGCACCAGCTTCTCGCTGAGACATGTCGCTGGATCTTGGAGCCTGGCTGTCATCGTCTGGCCTACGTGAGCATGTCTCATCGTTATTACCAGTACGAACACCGCACAGCAGCTTACCTGGTGCTGCTGAGAGCTCTGGATGAAGTTGACGGGAGGCTCGCTCTGCTTGCTCTTCAGCCTCAGGATGTTGTCGGCGTAGCCCCAGCTCAGGATGGCCGACCACTGGATGTCGGTGCTGTTCATGCTCCGCACGCCTGGGGGGAGGGAGGCTCAGGCTCAGCTCCCTGTGCCCGCCGCCCCGACACACAGGGCACGGGCTGGAGCTCGCACCGCAGCACAGCATCTGTGCCAAGGCATCTTCACGTCCACGGGATGAGCGGTTTATGCTCATTCTATTCCTTTAATGCTAATGCGGTTCCTTTTCAACTGTGTTAAGGGATTTTTATAAAAGACAGGAATAGTCAAGCTCACTCTAGTCATGTTCTGCACCAATTTATTTCTAAAAACGAACATGAACCAGATGCTGTGTAAACAGCTCCCCAGATAACCCCGTGGCAGCACCCAGATGCCATCCCTGGTCGGGGCACGTGGGAGGCAACCCATATGTTTCTCTCTCACATCGAGGCTTCTCTCTAAAAAAAAACAAAAACAGAAACAACAACACACCCTTGGGTGAGGATGTGTGTGTGTGTGTGTGTGTGTGTGTGTGTGTGTCTGAAGAGCCGAGGCCCAGCCAGGCTTAGCCATTTCACTTAGGTGCCGAGTGCTGGCAGGGGTCCCAGCACCCTGGGCGGGGGCTGGGTTGGGTGGGTGGGTGCATGGACCCTAAGGAGCACGCGGCACCCACAGCCACGTGTGTGCTAACGTGCGGCTGCTAAGAGGCATCCACTTCAGCCCACACGCAGCGTCCAGGCCAAGCTGATCTGAACAGATGGTGCCCTCCGCCCTTCCTGCAGGGCCCACAGCCCACGCCTCGTCAGCCTCAGCGGGGCGAGCTCTCCTGCGCGCCCTGAGGGGACCCTGTCCCGTGTCCCGTGTCCCGTGCCTCGGGGACACTTAGGCACAGGAGGGGCCCCCTGCACAGCACCCTCCAGCATGTGGCTGAGTGAGTGGGCGCCTGAGCATGAGAGGATGGCGTTCCAGCCATAGGCGGTTTTCAACCCATTTTCAAGGCTCTGATGGCCCTTCGCTTTGCTGTTTACATTTGAGAAACAGATTTGATGGTCACGTAAGTGTATCTATTCCGGGATTCAAGGGCCTCAAAGGGAACATTTTCACTAAATTATCGATAAAGTTTCCATCTGTGAGCAGAGCCGCTTATTCTTGTACCTTCAACTCCCCCTCGTTCCCAATGGCACTGCATCCAACTCCCACTTGTTTCATGTAGCCTATGTTTGATTCCTGCTTCGTGCTACATCACCACAGATCGGATCAGTGTTCACCCAGGACTCAGAGAACTTAGAGACGAAACAATATCAGCTCAGATGACCTGGACACTCAAACCCACGCACGGCACGGGTGACGTCCGCTTCTTTTACCTTGCTCTTTGCTGTAGGTCACCAGAAGGCAGAAGTTCTGGGACAGGCCGCAGATGGCCCTGGTGGGCAGCGCCTGCAGGGAGCCCAGTCGCTCCCCGTGGGGCTGGCTGAAGCAGACCACGGGCACCGGGGCACTCGGGGAGCCCACGTACTCCCCCCACTTCAGGCCTTTTATCCACGACAAAGGGCTCTAAACCAAACAAGAAAAGGTATGATTTTTAAAGAGGTAGTACATATAGATTACTCCTAATTTAAAGTCTAAACAAAGTAAGAGAAAGCAACCTGGCTCCCAGCCCGAGGTCCCCCGGACCTCGCCCTCCTCACTTCCTGGGATCCCCTCGGCAGCCCCTGTGGACTCCCATCCACGTCTCCCCGCTTACGCTGCCTTCGCAATGAAGAGCAGAGTGGACGATTAGGACTTATTTTCCTTCTAAGGTTTTCTTGCTTTATTTCTCTATTGCAAAGTGAAAATTGCACCCACTTCCTACTTTAAGAGGCAACACTTGCTCTCATCATAGCCCGGGAAGGCCAAAGCACACGTGGGTTCCTGCTCATTGTGACCGTCCCTTCCACACGGCCTACCGGGTGGGGGGCTTCTCGGACCGGCTCCCGGGTCTCCCTGAAGGCAAACTGCACGAGCAGCCCCACGGCCGCAGGCAGCTCTCCCTCGAGGCTGAGCCTGGGCCCCGGCCTGCTCACGTGGGCCGCCTGGAACAGCTGGCGAGGCGTCTGGCCGTAGGTCTTGATCATGGTTTCCAGCGCTCGCCTCTGCACCGGATCCTCAACCGCAGAGACATCCATCCCAAAATACGTCTGAAAGGTGAAGGGGAGGGGAGGCAGGCCTGTGTGAAGCCAGATCGGCAGCAACACCGAAGGCCAGCAACACGTGCTCTGCTCGCCACGCCGGCCTGGCTCCTCTCCTGTTTCCATGGAAACGACTCTGAGACGCTGAGATTAGAAAGTGAGTTTCTGAAGGGATGGACGAGAATACTGCATCCTGACTGATTGATGCTGATCAGCACAGAAATGAAGTTAACAGACAATATTGGTAGGTTCGAGAGGGTTATTTAGGTTCTAACAGTTCAGTGTCACTGCCAATTCTCTCTGATAACGTAGGCATTTTACAGACACCAGCTGGCCTGCAAACACTCAGGCTCTACCTTACTCTACGTAAGTGCAGGTTCCTTTCAGATCGCTTACCGCGGGATGGAACACGTTGATGGCGTGGACGGACGCCTTCCCTTTCTGCTTGTACCCGAACACCAGGTCCACCCACTGGCAGATGTTCTGGGACACGTGGTCCGACTCCAGAGCCTGGCGGTGGATGAGGATGAAGAGACGCGGGTCGTTCCGTGCCCACGGCGGCAGGTTGACGTGATTCACCCGCTCACCATTCTGCCGCACTCCAAAATCGAAACCTAAAAACAAGACTAATCTTAACGTGTGTCTCCCCCAGAGCACGCTTTGTGGGCACTGAGCGGTCCTGAGAGCTCACAGGAATGGTGGCCGACACTCTAACCAGGAAAAGGAGCAGCAAAGAGGACAGGACACGGACGCTCGTCACTCACTCACCCAACAACAGAGCCACACGGACAGACAGACTGTGACGGGTAACAAAGGCTGTTGCTCTGAGCCGCTACGTGTGCGGGTTCTTTGTTATGCAGCCACCGAAACTGGAACTCACACACGAGAAGCGACGGACAGAGAGGACAGGCAGTGGAGTTAAGTCGGAGCCCCAACCTGAAAGCCACAGGCAGGCCCCACCGGCAGGCGCTGGCCTCACTGCGACGTTCCTCACGTGGCAGCACAGGAAACGTGCCCCCGGGACGCGGAGTGGGGGTTTACTCATCATGCTCAAACACTCCAGACAGCGAGTATGGAGTGAGATTCTGCAGGAATCGGCCCAACACTAACTGCCCTAAAGAGATAACTCTCACCTTCACATCTTCCTAAAGGTCACATAACAACATGAAATTAAGTCATTAGAAGCAGCCCCAAATGCCTCTCAGGGGGTTAACTAATCTGTTAATTCTATCCTCTAGTGTTCCTTTTTGTTATTAGATACTAGAGGCCCAGTGCACAAAATTCGTGCATGGGAAGGTCCCTAGGCCTGGCTGGCGATCAGGGCTGATCAGGGCCTTCCTTTGTTCCACGCCCCCCCTGGTGGTCAGCGCACATCATAGTGAGCGATCAAACTCTCAGTCTCCCTGTTGAACTCCTGGGGGGACACTTTGCATATTAGCCTTTTATATATAGAGATTTCTGGTTAGAGTCTTTTACTTATACACTATCATTCCTCATAAAAATCACTGAGATTTTGGTTAATTAACATTGTGTTTTCAATAAATTCATGACTCATTTTTTAAAATTACCTTGTAATCTAAAATTACATTGGTAATCTGAAAAAAAAATTTCTGTAACAAAATTAAAATACATGTTTACAAAGAATTTTAATAGCTCAAAGTCACAGTTTTCCAGATATATTTAGTCCTATAAAATACTTAAAATCCTCAAGCTGATTTGGAAATAAAATCATGTACTTAATAAGGTATTTCTCTTACTTATGGACTCAAATTTTAGGACTTAAAACAGCTATTTTTATTTTTGGAAAATTATAAAATAAGCACAAATGCTCAAACACATAAACTAGAAATGATCCCGTTATACCTTCTCGGTTGACTAAGAACTCCGGGAGATAGAAGAACTCCGGGACCAGTTCCTTCACGTCAGTCATGGACTCAAAGGAGGAGAGGCGCCAGGTCGTGTTCATGGAGTGGAAGGTTCTGTCCGGGATGTCAAAGCTTTGATCTGTAAAGAAATAAAAGTAAGAACTAAGACACAGAGACCTGACTCCATTTGAAGCCTGACGTAATTTATTTCGCCACTTCAAAAAGATTACTAGTAAAATGATGTTCATTTTGCTTACCTATAGTTTAAGAGGTTATTCATTTATTCTTGAAAATAAGTATTTCTATACATAATTTGAGACCGTATTATATTATTTAAAATCTGTATTGTTTTCATAATACATAAAACTAGATGAGTTTCTAGCATTTGTTTAATTGATGACTGTCTACCCAAGTGGAATAAAATTTCCATAAGAGCAGGGACCTGGGGTATCAGCGATACCTAACATGTACTAGGTACTCAGTAACAGTTTGTTTATGGAATGAGTGAATAATAAGGAAGTAAAATTAAAGTTCAAGTGGATAAAATAACCTTTCCCCATCAGGAAGCAAAATTACTCCTTTGCCTCTAATTGTTAGGACTACTTTTTCTTCCTTCTCTTTAGATGCTCTCACTCTCTCCTCGCTAAGTTTTCCTGGTGCAGACTGTTCACACTCCAGAGCTGAGCTCTGCACTGCGTCCCTGGCTGAGGGTCGGCCCTGAGCAGGAGCAGCGCCGAAGGCAGCCCTGGAGACAGCGGGGCGAACGCTTCTCAGGGGCCCTACGTTCCGTCTAAAACTCCTCTGAACTGGCTGAAACGTGAGCACTTTTTCATTTGGAAACTATCACGGACTGGTCTCAGCATCAAGCGAGGCACATTTTACCAAGAGGTGCCAACTCCTTCCCCACGCCTGCGCATTTCCTATTCCTTCTACTCCTTTCTTACCTGGTCTGTTGGGTCAGTCAGCACTGCCTGCCACTAAATAAAATCTGCGAAGAATTAGGTTTACAGACATTTCCTTATTCTCAGGGAGTTGGGAGGGTCACTTAAATGTTCACTAACTCACTCTGGAAAAAATGGGGTAAGACCTTGCACATAGGAACCTCTTGGCCTGATGTCAAACTAACTAAGGATAACTAGCCCGGGACAGACACTGGGAGGCAGAGAGGGTCAGGGCAATACCCTCACGTGCTTGAACAGCTGTCCTGTGCACTCACAGGGGACAAACATAAGAAAGCCCTTGTATAGACCAAGGAGACAGTCATTCCTGCAAGAGGGTGCATGTGAGTAACACCATGGTTCTCATTAGAAACTGACAGGGGAATGTGTCCCCGTTTGCACACAAATCCATTCGCCTCGAGCTATTCGCCTTCAGGCCTGCAGCTGCCACTTACAATGCCAGCGGAGGCAGAGGGTTATTAACTAGAAAGTTACCAGGTGAAGGTGGCGATGTGGCTCTCCTATTATTTATTTAGCAGTTATTTGTAATAAACTACCACAACATATTCCCCTTTAGGGTTCAAAGATAACTGTGATCTAAAATAATTATTAAGTTGAATATCTTTAAAAAGAGAACCGCATACATTTTTAAAGAGTAAAAGGGGTAAATTTTATGGTATATGAATTACATCTTAATTCTTTAAAGTGACTTGCGTTTTATAAATTTCGACATGTTTAATTTGAAGCTAACATTTGAGACATTAGCAAGATGATCTGGCTGTGGCAGGTTTTAGAAGAGAATGTTGTCAAAGGAACAGACAGAACTCGTTTCCTGCGGTTTGACTGGCATGAAGACATTCCCAGGAGGTATCCCAGTGTCCTCTGCCAAGCAGCCTGCCTTTCCAGCACCGGCCAGGGCTCACCTTGGTAGGCCAGGAACATCCTGGTGAAGGGCGGCATGCGGACCAGGAAGTGCAGCACGGTGCCGCTGTTGGAGTAGTGGGAGCCGTAGTGGTAGGGCTGCACGGGCGGCAGCGGGTCGTCCTCGCGGGCTCCTTTGCGGAACTCTTCCTCCAAGTACTGAGGGACACAGGGAACCAGACACTGGCCACCAAGCCCCCTGCGTGGCTTCACAGCCCTTCCCTGCCAGCCCTGTGCCCGTTCTCCACGCTGCCCTCCCTCGTGTTCCGACCTCAGCCACCTGAGTGTCTGGGGTGCCCTCCGGGGCCCGGCTGCTGCCTGACCACCTGGAGGCACCTCCCAGTCTGCACCCTCCCCTCTTCCTCCCTCCGTCTCTCTCTCTTCCCTTCCACTCTCTCTAAAAATCAATGGAGAAAATATTCTCGGACGAGGGTTAACAACAACAACAACAACAACAAAAACCTGCTAATTTCTGTTAATAAAGTAATGCATAATTGACTATGCACAATGAGAGATTACGGTACATCATAAATACACTGATATTGTTACAGAAATAACCCCAGGGCATAGAGTGTCCCTGGAAATCTTTGTGATTTTTATAAGGAATATAATTATTTATATATTTCAATATAACAATGGAGTACTAGCTCCCAACTTATGCCACTCTAATAAGTGTACGTTTTCTGGGTAAAATGTTTTCAGAGAATTGAGACAGACTAATATTTAAAATCATATAATGATTTCCAGTTGTCTGTCAATCAAAGTACAAAGACGTGAAAAACAGAAAAATCAATACTATACGTTTAAAATTTCTAAACACAAGTAAAACACAACTCTTTAAAACAAAGCTCCAGTTTTCATTTATTAAAAATTAGGGAAAACAGAACCCACCTTGTATGTGTCCACGTAGCGATCTTCCTTCTCTTTGTACTGCACGGCGATGGGCTTGGAGAGGTTTCTAGAGGGAGAGAGGGTGGGACTAGACGGCACCTGATGCTGCCAGGATCCAGCTGCCCAGAGGTCTGCACCCTCAAGTGCGTAAGTGACCTACAGAGCACTCGGTCCTCAGTTTAGTGCTTACACTTGCTGCTTGGCAACTAACAGTCGCCATTCAAAATCATGGTTTCATACACGTTAGGGGAGAACTTTCTAAGCAGGCCCTACGGGTCTCAGCAATTCCTGACTTAGGAGTAAGCACTACAAGAACAGCACGGCCATCCCTCCCTCCCTGCCCCGCCCTCTTCCTCCAGGACTGCGACGGATGCTGCCGTGGCAACTGGGGGCTCCTCTCCCCATCTCCCAGACTCCACGCCCAGTTAGGCAGTGAGGCACGAAGGGCAGTTTGGACAGGAAATATGACCATGAGGAGATGTCACATAATTATGAGGTTACTTAGTAAAAACTGAAGAAACTACACACTTAAAATGGCCAAGCTGAGATGCAGAGTGCACTCACTGAAATAAGCATCCTGCTATCTGATTAGCAGATCACGAGAAACACCGTGTCCGTCTCACAGACATTGCCACCAAAGGTGACAGCGGGCCTGATTTGAGTCCATCAACTCCCAAAGGATGCCTCGAGTACCACGAGGGGACATCTGAAATGGGCTGGATATGAGATGATGCCATGAAAATGGATAATTTTCTGAGCTGTGATAATGGCACTGAGGTTAGGTAAGAAACATTCCACCTTTTTCCTAGGAGATATGGACTGAAGGCCACAGGAGGGACAGAACAAGAGGCCTGCCATTTGTCTCACATAAAAAGAAAAAAAAAAGAGATGATGTAAGTTTGGCAAACGTCTTCCTAATTGTTGAGTTGGGATGATGGACATATGGCGGTTTATTCCATTTTCATTCAATTTTGTGCACGTTTGAAAATTCCTGCGATAAAAGCTTTAATGAAATAAACAGCACATGGATGGAGCTGAAAGGGGTGTTCCTGTTACCTGTAGACAGACGGGTCCCCGAGGTCGAGGGTCTCGCTCACGTAGTCAGCCAGGATGAAGGGGAACACTGGGTACTGCATGAGGTCGTTGAAGGATCGGCCGGCGTGTTTGTTTAAGTGCGTCAGATATTCAAAGTTAGTAATCTGCCCGGTGTACCACAAGTTGGTCAGCGCGGTGATGTTGCCGTATTCCAGAAGGTTGGGGAGGTCGTTGGTCAGGATACTGTGGTACACGTCGTCGCGAACCTGCGCGCAGGGAGAAGAAAACAGCCCAGTGGGGAAGGGGCTTCTCATTAAGAAGAGACTAATCAGCCGGGTCCAATGCTGCTGGAGGCCCGTCAGCTGAGGACATGGAGCAGGAGCACAGGGCCAGCAACTCGAGGTCCCTGGGAGCTGAGCAGAGCGAGAGGGTGGGAGGAGGAAATGAGCGGGAGCTTCCCACGGAGAACCGGGGAGGACCCGGGAGGACCTGGAGGCGGCAAGCCCACACAGCTTCCTCCCAGAGGCTCTCTGTAACGGAGGCAGCCACCGTAGCTGAAGGCTGTGGGGGTCCAGAGAGGGCTTGTCAGACGGGAAATCTACTTTCAAGTTTAAACTACGTTAGGCTGGTCATCCACCCATTCATTCATTCATCACAGTCCCTTTGAGAAATCAGGATTTAACAGTTTGGGAGTACAAAAATCTAGGGTTTACTTTGATTAGGACTGAGAAATAAGGCAATCTTGATTTGATTTCAGAAACAGTGCATGGAAGTTTAGATCAGTTAGACTTGAGGGCGATGAGCAGTACCCGGTGCCATGAACTCGCAGAGCGTCTGCCGCAGGGCAGCCCACCCACCTTGGTGCTGTCCAGGGCCAGCAGCAGCGTCCGGCCGTTGGTCAGGAAGATCTCCACGGCGTTGTCTCTCAGCTGCCACCAGCGCTTGTGGACTTCTTTGATTTCCTCGTACGTCCAGGAAAAGGACGCTGGTTCCAATTCTCCCTGAGGGCTCTGGGCAAAGGAGAGAGATGGAAGTACCCGCTTTGCATGAAATATGAATAATCATTTTAATTTTAGTCTCTTAAAAAATATCAAAATGCAATATGGTAGATGAGATTCTCTGAAAATCCTCTACCACACACTTCAAAATGCTGAATAAAAATTAGGCTTTTTTTTTAGTTAATAGACTTGATTTTTTAATACTTTATTTTTCAGAGCAGTTTTAGGTTAAAGAAAATTGAGCATGAGCCAGCAGAATCTACTATCAAGTTTAAAATACTTTTTAGAACTGCCTTTCATAAAATATGTTCACCTCAGATAAATCGACACATAAAGTCACAATAAATGAGCTCTAATAGTTCTACCTGCTTTTCGGTGATACTGAATTTATACATTTTTGGAATTTGTGTGAATTTAGTGCAAACTTAAGCGTCTACTCACCGAACTTTCAACTGTATCAGAAGCATTATCTTCCACAAAATACATTCCACATTTACCTGCAGAACATAACTGCATGTGAGTTTAAAGACGTATTGCACCATTACCTTGTATGGTAAAAAGCATGACCTTTGGAGCCAGTGGCCTGAATCGGAGGCCATCACCCAGAAATAGTTCCTGACACTCGACCTCTAGTTGTGAACAGCATCCGCAAGATCTCGGCAAGTTGCTCAGGCTCTCTGTGTCTTAGTGACCTTATCAAAAGATGGGGGTGAGGGAGGACTCTATTTCACAGGGTTGCTGTGGGAATTCGATCATATATAAAATAAAAGGAATGATTCTCAACACAGGAGCTGCCCCGTGGTGGTCAGTGCACTTCTCACAGAAGCCGGGCTCACAACTGGCGAGCGCAGCGGTGGTGGCGGGAGCCTCTCCTGCCTCTGTGGCAGGTGGACATCCCCGAGGGTCCCGGACTGCGAGAGGGCACAGGCTGGGCTGAGGGGATCCCCCTGCTCCCTCCCAGTGCACGAATGTTGTGCACCGGGCTTCTAGTTAAATATAAAAATGTATACTCATGCCGAAACCGGTTTGGCTCAGTGGATAGAGCGTCGGCCTGCGGACTGAGGGGTCCCAAGGTTCGATTCCGGTCGAGGGCATGTACTTGGGTTGCGGGCACATCCCCAGTAGGAGATGGGCAGGAGGCAGCTGATCGATGTTTCTCTCTCATCGATGTTTCTAACTCTCTATCTCTCTCCCTTCCTCTCTGTAAAAAATCAATAAAATATATTTTAAAAAAAAATGTATACTCATGAAGAAAGTCAGCTTTATAAAAATTAAAATGCTGCCATTCCTTCACACCCATGAGTCCATGCATTATACACAATGTCAAGGCAGAATAACCTACGTGATGTTAGAGAGAATTTAACTCCTTTAATGGCAGTGGCCAAAACAATGCTTCCACTGATCACAAATGGAACAAGGCAGGTGAGTCTGAGAAAAACTCTCCAAAATGTGACTCACCCAATAACAACTCGCCAGCTGTCTCCCTAGACGGGGCGACGCTGATACACCTGCGATTCACTCTGTCAAAATACATTTAAAATCACTATGAATGCTTTGACCAGTTCTAGAAAGTATAAGCTTTATTCTATCTAGGAAAAGATTTCAGCAAAGCAGACAAGTTTCAAGTACAAGACGTCTTGTCAAAACCCTCGTAAAAATATTATCTCTTTCTTTAACATTCTAGTAGAGGAGAAAAGTGATGGAAACTTTTAGGAAAGGCTAATAATCCCTATACCCTGTAGGCAGAATACAGGATTCAGTTACTGAAAAGAGACTTGAATATTTTATATTTTCCAGTAAATAAGCAAACATTGGTTCATGCCTCTGATACTTCAAACACATAAGAAAAGTCTAGTTTTGCCAGAACCGGTTTGGCTCAGTGGATAGAGCGTCGGCCTGCGGACTGAGGGGTCCCGGGTTCGATTCCGGCCAAGGGCATGTACCTGGGTTGCGGGCACATCCCCAGTGGGGGATGTGCAGGAGGCAGCTGATCGATGTTTCTCTCTCATTGATGTTTCTAACTCTCTATCTCTCTCCTTTCCTCTCTGTTAAAAATCAATAAAATATATAAAAAAAAAAAAGAAAAAAAAAAAAGATACTGTTTCCTTTAAAAAAAAAAAAAAAAAAAAAAAAAAAAAAAAAAAGAAAAGTCTAGTTTCTAGGAAAAACAGGATTTAGAGTCACAAAAGTTCCTCTCTTCTTTAGTCAAGGCACTTACATTCTCTGAGTCTCAGTTTTCCGTCTATAAAATGGGCATGACAATAACTGACGCATCACTACTCGGCGATGCTAAGCTATGCTGGCGTTACCACCTTCCTCACGGAACAACAGGTAAGGAAACGGACAGGGAGAGGTGAGTAACTTGCCCACGATCAGAAAGCTGGAGAGCGCGGGCCCAGCATCTGAACCTGTCATCACTGCACTGACGACCTGTGGATGCCGCGGCAGCGCTGCCCATTTCACAGGCTGTCAGGACAGGTGAGTACAGAGGCATCCGTGTGCAAACAAGGGCCAGAGCACGAGGACACAAGTCCTGGGCTCCTTCCTGTCAAGCTGTCTTTCCCTTTTGGATTCCGGCCTCCAACCTCGTCCTCTCTTGAGCCCTGTCTGGGAGCTCTCCTAAAGCCACAGCACTGTCTAAAACAGAGCGATAAGTACTACAACAGGCTATGGGAATCATTAACTCCTCTACCAGAAGCAAAAACGGCTCATGGAGTCAAAGTTACCTGATAGACTCACTTGCAGCTTTGTCTTTTACGGTAGAAGAGAAAGAAGAGTGAGTTTTGTCTTCGAAGAGGTAAGAGAGGGGCGGTCTGACCACGCCTGTGAGGAAAAGAGCGCATGTCATCTTTCCCCGAAGACCACAGCTGGCCGTCTACTCACAGCCGGGCCGGAAGCACCGTTACCTTCCGGCCTCTGCCTGTCCCTCAGGAGGTACTTGTTGGGAATAGTTAGGTAGCATCTCTGCAAACGCCTCCTCTCTCGATTCGGCCCTTCTGTGGGATCCAGCTGCCAGGAAGTGGGGTAGTAGGTGGGGTCATACCAGACGGCTCTGTTAGTCAAAGGAAAAGAAGGTCTTAAGTGGCAACCTGAAGTGCTTGTAGCTTTAAAAAAATTATTGTATAATTCAGTACGTAAAATGCTAGTCTATTCAGTTAAAAGCCCAACTATTAAAAAAAGAAAAAGAAAAACCCCAAACTATTTATATAATTCGACTCGGGAATACAGATCCATCGTACAAAGACTACCATGGAAGAGAAGTCTCCCATCTCCCTCTGCGCACCTGTCGTGCGTCAGCTGCTGACTCAGCTCCTGCCAGTGGCGGCTGGCGCTCAGGTCGACCTTGTACATCCCCCGGATGTGCTGGATCACCTTCTTCCTCTCAATTCCTTGGGAGAGAGACACTGCCTGGGTGATGTCTGCGGCTGTTTTAGATATCTCCTTTGATTTGGAATCGAGACGCTGAAAGAGACTGAACAAACGAAATTGCCCATAAGTTAAGCACACGTGGAACGTGAAATGTGTAGGGAAAAGAGCTGTGGTACATTTACGCAATGGAATATTACTCTGCCATAAAAAGAAAGGAAAATTTACCCTTAGCGACAGCGTGAATGGACCTGGAGAGTATCATGCTACGTGAAATAAGCCAGTCAGAGAAAGACCAGTGTTATATACAATAGCCACCTATGATTGCACTGATAGGTGGAATTTACTGAACAAACTGAACTACCAAGCAAAACAGAGACAGACTCATAGATAGAGAGCAGGCAGACAGCTCTGGTGGGAGAGGGGGACGGTGCTGGGTCGGGGATGGATTGAGTAAAAAAGAAAAAGAGAGAGAGAACTCACGGACATGGACAACAGTGTGGTGATGGCCGGGGAGGGGGTGGAGGTGGAAGAGGGCGTAGAGGGGATGAATGGTGATGGAAAAAATAAAATTTAAGAAAACAAACAGCTAAAAGTATATGTGAAATCTAATGAATTCTTAAAAGACATGACTTTACAACACTTAAAATCCTACCTTTGTTGATTATTTTTAACTGTTTTCTGCCAGGTGGCTTTATTCACACCTTCTTCAGTTTCATATTTCTTTTGTTCCTAAAAGAAATGATGTAAAATTTATTCTTTATCATTTAACATTGGCACAGAACCCAATGAACTACTTGTAAAACCAAGCTAACACAAGAGAAGCACTGGCCTCAGGAGACCAGAACAGGAGAAGACATCAGCTCCTTCGATGATGCGCTCATTCCCCTTGGTCTCCACACGGGGTGGGCAGAGGAGTGAGGGTAGAGGAGTTAACCAGGGCTGCCTAACCTGGTGGGTTTGCACAGGTGCTTACTTCCTGATTTTGTCTTTTCATTAAAGAACCCATGACTCAAGGCCGGTTCTTCAACAATCGCTTGTCGATGTGAAGGTTTTCCCTTCACTGAACGCTACTGGTAGCAGATGACGGTGACCACAGAGGATAGAAAATTCCTTCCATGAGCCTGTTTGCTCTCTCGTGGTAAAAAAGCAACATACAGAAAGCAAGTATCTCAAATCCATCCTCACTGACACTCTCCAATGGAAAACAAGCTCCCAGCGCCCTTTCATCACGGCCAGTGGGACCTCCTAAGGACACGCGCTGTTTCGCCGACTCACCTCTCTGATGACTCGGAGCAGCTCTGGCTTTGCGGCCGCGCTGGGAGGGGGGCCCCTGTGGCCACACGCCTGCAACGCGCTCATAAGCAGTTGGGCCGCGTCCAGTTCCTCCCAAGTCAGCTCCTCCGGGTGATTATGGATCAGCTCCGACAGATACAAAACTAACTTGGCTCCATGCTGGAAAAACAAAGGAATGCATTCTTTTCAGTCATACAGAATTTTTACTTCTTACAGTTAAATTATTGAACAGTAGTTAAATTAAATTAGAGTGCTAGGTTTCTTTGGTTAGATATGGCTGGAATAAATGAGCTTTAAAAAAAGACATTTTGGGGACAACTGAAAAAATGTGATTCTGTATTGGATATCTGATGACATTAGGGAGTATGCCAATTTTGTTACGTATAATGTTATGATTATATGTGAGAAAATGCCTTTTGAAAGATGGCATGACTTCTATGGTTTATTTTAAAATGTTTCAGGAGAAGATAAAGATAAAAATATTAACAATTGTTAAATCTACGTGATGGTTATATAGTATTCATTATATTATTCTACTTTTCTTAGTATGCTTAAAAATTTTCATTGTAAAAGATAAAAAAAAGAGAGGAAAAGGAAGGAAGGGAGAGAGAAAGAGGGAGAAGGAGGGAGGGAGAAAAAGGATAAGAAAAGGCGGCAAGCAGGCTTTTATCGTGGGGAAAGAATTCTGGAGAGGATTCGCTAGAGAAATACAGGAAGTAAGCTTAGGATAAGGGACAACCTTTCTTAGTTCCCCTCAGAGCAAATTAGAGCTGCTACTCAGGGCAAAGGCGACTGTCCTGCACGGCGTGAGCCCACACCAAGCTCTGACGCATGATTTTTTGGGTCGGCCCTTCCATGCTTTAGACAGCGGTTCTCAACCTGTGGGTCGCGACCCCTTTGGCGGTCGAACGACCCTTTCACAGGGGTCACCTAAGACCATCCTGCATATCAGACATTTACATTATGATTCATAACAGTAGCAACATGACAGTGATGAAGTAGCAACGAAAATAATTTTATGGTTGGGTCACAACATGAGGAACTGTATTTAAAGTGCCAGAAGGTTGAGAACCACTGATTTAGAAGTTACACCCCATTGCTACCTGTACACTGTGTGTTATTTAGACATTACGTGTGCCAACAAGTTAAATATGCAGAATTTTACTTTAAGAATTTGCATTAATACAAATACCGCTCGAATTCTAACTGTGAATAGTATTAAATGTCAACACATGGGTTTGGAAACTCTCACATGCTGGGTGGTGTGTACATTAACATGCTGCCTCACATCCTGCCACTTCCTAGAAGCAGGAGATGAACATGTGCAGGACGGGAATAGCAGAGCTCATCCTATGCGACATTTTAAAAGAATCGGGAGACAGCTGCCACCCGACCCAGAGAGGAAACGGAGCAGATGCTCTCCCAGTAAAAGGCCTGGAGAGTTGGCAAATAAAGAGGAATGTAACTGACTGGAGTATTTGCACGTCTGTCTTAGAGGCAAGGTTCTTAATTAACTGAAAATATTTCCATTTAGTATTCAATGACATTCTAAAATCATCTTGAAAAACTACCAGAAATGTTTTTATTCACCTTGAATAGCCACTGAAGTTGTTTCTAATAACTCATTTTAACATCCTCTGATCAATCATTTAATGATTCTAGTTCCTTGCAGGAACTTATGTACAGACCTTCACTTAAGCACTAAAAAGAATGGGGAACGAACAGATCCGGGTGAGGCCGGTGGAGGGCATCTGAAGAAAGACCTCAGGTGCCACTTGGTAAGAAAACTACACTTACAATGTTTGGCATGAAAATACAGTTTAATTTCAATTCTTGTTTTGTGCAATTGGACGTTTCACCCACAGTTTTTTCGTATGAAATACTGATTCTTACTTGCAAGGATGGGCTAAGGCAGTCTCGTAGTATTTCCTGATGATTTGGCTCCTGAACTATTTCAAAAATCTGCTTTCTCTCCTGGGAAGGGTGGGCTGGGGACAGGATGTGGGCGAGCAGTCTCCCCAGCTGCATGCGGAAGGTATCCTTACAAGACCACACGATCTTCGCCCACTGCTGCTTGGAACCACTGGGTTTACTTGAACCCTAAAACCGAAACAGAAATGAATTAGGATCTGACTTTTAAAGTAATAATATACTAACCTCAACACAGTCCGAACCAGTTTTATTCTAGGTTTCTAAATACAGTCTAAATTAGAAAGACATACACAACCGTACAACAGTGTTTAAAAGAGGTGGGCGTACACCTTTGTTCAAATAACCAAAAGGTGGAAGCAATCCAAATGCCCACTGAGGATGGACGGATAAAAAACGTGAGAACCCAGGAATTGACCAGCTGTAGAGAAGAAGGAACTCTTATCTTTTCCAACAGCATGGAGGGACTTGGAGATTATTATGCTAAGTGACATAGTCAGTCAGAGAAAGACAAACACCACATGACCTCACTTAGATGTGAGATCTCATGAACAAAATAAACTGATGAACAAAATAGATCCAGAGGCATGCATGCATGGAGCAGACCGACAGCTGTCAGAGGGGAGGGCCACAAGGGGACTGGATGACAAAATGAAGGGATTAGCCAAAGAACATACTAGTCTATGCATAGCCCACAGGCACAGACAACGGTGAGGTGTGATGGCCAGAGGGAAGGGGGCTACGTGGATGTGGGCAAAGCGGGGGGGATGGGGACATCTGCAATAGTGTCAGCAATAAAAACAAAGTAAAAAAAAAAGCTCTACTCTTTTTGTGTGAATAAACATGCCCCATTTAATTAATTTACTTACAACAGATACTTTGAATCCTTCTATGAGGTATGTCAGTATTTCCTTCTGAAATGGATTGAAAACGGAAATCTGTTCACGATGACTATTTTCTTCAGAAATTTCAGTCTGGGAAGCTGAGGTCTTGCTCTGAGTGGCATTTTCTGGAGTACTCAAAATGGCAACAACATCTGGATTAAACTCTGAATTTAAAAAAAGAATAAAAAATCAGTTAAATCACCGGCACCTAGCCATTACAAATGTAATGATGCTGGTAAAAATACTCTATGTAATTACTGATTCAGTTGTCATGATATAAACGTGTAAGTGTATTACTTGAATACATAGAGAAAATGATCTCACTTAAAACAGTGTCAAAATTTAAACGCATATAAGCCATGCAATTCTAAATTAAAGATTTACTTTACTAATGAAGATGAACTAAACTATGAAATCATTAAAGCCATGAGGTTCTTGGACCAATCACACATGATGCTTACAGCAGGTGGACGTGCAGAGCGGTTTCTCTCGCATGCTACCCATTCAATGTGGTGCCAGGGAGAACAGTGGGTCAGTTTCAGAGTTAGCCTGAGGGCCAGGTGCCCCAAATATAAATTAGAAAAGTCTTTTAAAAAAGATATTGTATTGCCCTAGCTGCTTTGGCTCAGTGGATAGAGCGTTGGCCTGCGGACTGAAGGGTCCTGGGTTCGATTCCCGGTTAGTACTCATGCCTGGGTTGTAGGCTTGATCCCCAGTGTGGGGCGTGCAGGAGGCAGCTGATCAATGATTCTCTCATCATTGATGTTTCCATCTCTCTCTCCCTCGCCCTCTCTGAAATCAATAAAAATATATATATTTTTTAAAAAATCTTGAATGTATTGTTTTTCTAGTGATGTGTATTTTTTTCCTGCCTTCTTGGGATTATTTGAACATTTTTTTTTTTTTTAGAATCTCATTTTGACTTATCTATAGTGCTTCTGAGTGTATTTCTTCACACAGCTTTTAGTGGCTGCTCTAGATGTTACATTATATGTGTAACATAGAATAACACTCACCTTGGTAAATAAGTCTGTTAACCGCCAGCACGATGAGTCTCTGCAGCCTCTGCACCAGCTCGGCCTCGCTCGCCTGCACCGGGCTCTCCTGGCTCATCCTCCGCTGTATCATCACGTGAAGTTCATCGCTCGCCACCGAGCGCATGCGCATCAGAAAGGGGTCCGTGTGGGCAAGGGGACATTTCCAAGGACCTTCAAATGTATCAATTAAAACAGCAGATGCCAGAGTTAACAAGATCCGAGAAGCTAGTTTTGCTGCAACTTTCTGATCATCAGAACATGAAAAGATCTCATTTAATACAAAGTTAATTTGCACAAAGGAAAGAGTGATTAAGAGAAAGTGGTGCTTCCCCTCTTTGAAGAAGTGCGACAGTACTTCTGATTCAGAATCCTAAGTAAGGACGCGGAAGCAGGTGGCCTAGCTGAGGAGGGTGGCTATCGTTTGGCAAAATTTGAGTTTCCTGAAAAACTCCAAGAATTAGAAGGGCACATACAAGCAGTTCAGAATGTTTTGACAAAGTATTTTCCAATACTGTCGCACTTCCTCGTATTCTAAAATCATCAACAGATTTATCAAGCACATTGTGTTTTAGTAAGAACATTACTATTTCCGGATGATTGCCACGGCTGAACTTGATAAAATAGTTTTGAAAGTGTATATAGTGACAGCAGAAATCAGTCAAATGAAGGTGAGGAGATCAGAAAGGTGAGTATCATTCCAGTGATTTGCTTTGAACGATCTGCTGCATATGTGTCGCTTGAATTCAATCCCAAGAGCATTTCCCGGGAAACGTTTCCCCAGGTGGACAGGAGACCTGGCATTCAGCAGCGTTACTGCACCTGCTCCGAGAGGTGCCACCCAGGGAGCGGATCCGGGAGAGCCTGGGGGGGAGGAGTCTCGCCTGAACGCAGGGGAGGAGGAGGGCATCGGGAGGTGACCATAGGAACGAAAATGGCGCCTCGGGAGGTGAGGAAGAGCGCAGCCCTTCACCGGAATTGAACCTTTGTTTGAGATTATGAAAACACAGATCAATTTCCATAAAGAGCCTCTAGAAACACTACTTACACATGACTAAAATATGATAAGTTCTAATGACTCCCCCTGTAAGATATTTAAATATTTTAATAGCATTTTAGATTGTCTACTCTTTTAGGTAATTGGTATTTTTAGTTATTACATTTTGGTGGGTAGAGTCACCTTTGAGACAAAAAATGAAGCAAATAAAAAAATGTATATTGCTGCCCTGTTTATAATAGCAAAAACAGAAAAGTAAAAAAGCAATAACACCTTTGTTGATTGGTAAAAGTTAGGAAAGATGGTCACGGCAAATCAATATAACAGATTATGCACTTGTTAAACAAGGCATATCTGTGTATTCTTTCTATACATATGTCTATGGAAAGATGTCTACCACACAGAGGGGAGGAACCGGTGCCTTGTTCCCTGGGTGCTGGGATGAGTGGAAGCACATGCCCAGCAGTCAGACTGATATGGGGCTAACCTGGCAGTGGTGCCCAGGAGTCAGACAGACACGGGGCTAACCTGGCAGTGGGACAGCAGCTTCCTTCTCTTCTCCGGACCAGCCTGGCTTCCTCTGGCCTCAGCTCCCTCCCGTGAGCCGTCCCCTCTGCCTGGGACACCCGCCTTCTGACCTCTCCCTTCCTGACTCCTTTCTGTCCTTTATGACAATAAATCTCACCTCCTCACACACTTCCCCGCCTCCTGATGGAAAGCGGGCTGCCCTGATATAGTCTCGCTCCTACCCCTGCATTTCTCCACCTTTTATCATCTCTGCAAGGGCAGATGCTGTGTCTGCTTTCTAAGTTATTGCATCTTCAACACTGAACGCTGTGCTTAGCACGCGGCAGGTGCTCCAGAGGAAATTACATGGGAACAGCACAGAGAAGAAAGCAGTGAGCGGCTTCTTCTGGGAGGAACACTTCCTCACACTTTACAGCCTAAGTTTCTAAACTGATAGTGTTTAAACATGTGAATGGCAGGGAACACATGACAGCCCGGCAGCCTACACTTCATCATTACTAAAATGCATTTCAACACTCACCAGCAATGCTCTTCCGCTTGGGAAAGACCGCGTGCTGGGGAGAAGGTGCCTGGAAGCACTCGGTGAAGCTGTCTGAGTCGTGGTTCGCGGTGGTCCTTATGAACTCCATGGCGGCCCGGAGGACTCGGAACTGCAGCGCCACGGCCATGCCTGAAAACGCAGGCACCACAATGTCTGCAAGCTACGTGGTTGTCAACTCTGATTTTTATATTTACACGGTATCTAAACTGTCTATATTTTATCAGAATTAAACATTTTAAATCAGCCCCGGCTGGTTTGGCTCAGTGGAGAGAGCGTTGGCCTGCAGACTGAAGGGTCCCAGGTTCGATTCCGGTGAAGGGCACATGCCCAGGTTGTGGGCTCCATCCCAAGTGGGGGGGCATGCAGGAGGCAGCCGATCAATGATTCTCTCTCAACATTGATGTTTCTCTCTCTCTCTCTCTCCCTTCCTCTCTGAAATCAATAAAAATATATTTAAAAAAATTTTTAAATCAACATGGGTTCTTGATGGTAGTAAACATTTTAAAATTGTCTTTAAAAGCAATTTTAAAGCAAATTTCCAAATGGTCACTATAAAATACCATCCCACACATTTACTTCATTTTATATAACTGCTTTAAGGAACAAACTTTTTAATAAATAAGGTAAAAGTTTAACCAGAAATTCTCACATTTTTGTTTCATATTCTCTTTAATATTTGCCATTAAAGCAAACTAAAGGGCATTATTATTCAACATAAGCCTTTTAATTCTACTTGGTAAGAAAAATCAGTGGCTTCTTTTAATATGTTGCCAGCTACTAATTACAGAGGCATTACTTTTTATTTTTATTTTTACTCCTTAAAAAGGCTTCTTTTTAGAGCTGTTAGATATCATCACATAAACTTTCAGCAAAACAGTTTCCAAGAGGAAAGAGCTTAGGTTCAAATAAGCTTTTTGGCTACTATACAACTGCCCCCAAACTCCATAAAGCTGAACCTTACTTTGTGTCCTCTTGTTCTTGCTGTTTTGAAGATACCCAAGCAACACAATGAGGTCTTCGATCACTCTGAAATACTGGGGGCCCGAGGAGCTGCAAGCGTGAATTGTGACAGCTACGAGAAGTTGCTGTATATCGCAAGCAAGCAACTTGTATTCATTCAAAGGAATGCTAAAGAAAAAGAAAAAGCACTTAAGGCAGAGAGAACGGTTAATTCTGTTCCGCCAGCATGCATTCACTCGCTACTGACCCACGCTCACCCTGTGGCAGGCAACACGACTTGTGGGCTGGAAACAGACATGTGAGGACACACACTGACTCCAGTCAAAAGCTGTCTCACAGAGAACCAGGCAAGTAAAGAGATAAATGTAAAGGGTGGTAAGTGTAAAAACACAGGTTACACGCTAGCTGGTTTGGCTCAGTGGACAGAGCATCGACCTGCGGACTGAAGGGTCCCGGGTTCGATTCCAGTCAAGGGCAAATGCCCGGGTTGTGGACTCGATCCCCAGTGGGGGGCGTGCAGGAGGCAGCCCATCAATGATTCTCTCTCATTATTGATGTTTTTCTCTCTCTCTCCCTCTCCCTTCCTCTCTGAAATCAATAAAAATATATTTAAGAAAACAAGCAAAAAACCCCAAAAAACAGATTAACAGAGGCTACTATGGGAACAGATAGGCAGGTTCTGAGCCCACACCAAAGGCAGAGAGTTGGTAGTTATGAACAGGAACATTCTGAGAAGGCCTCTCAGAGATGAACTTGGATAACTAACCTCTCTGAATCTCACTTACACACATTAGCTGCGTGGTCGTCAAGTGACTATTTCCCTAATCCTCAAGGTCCTGTTCCTGATGGCATAATAACGTTTATAAGACTATAGTGGAAGCTTGGTAATATACAGGGCGGGGCCAAAGTAGGTTTACAGTTGTATGTGCCACAGTTTATTACAGTATTATTATTTCTTAATTATTGTATTATTTTCCATAGGAACAAAACTTACTTTTACAACTTGTCTTCAGGTTCTAAACACCTAAAAAGTCATATAAATATCTTCTTATAAAAAACTTTGTTGAAAATGATGGAAACTATGTCCCCTCCACATTTAATCTTACTTAATGTTTTATCAGAAAAAAATTCTTTGAAAGTATTATGGAAAACCAGATGCTTTAATGTAACCTATTACTGAAATTCTCCATTTCTGAAATATTTATCAGGCGTAGCTTCAAATGATGATTTAAAACTTACTTCTTTTCCAATCCGTTCAGGGCTGCTACTGTGTTACACAGCACGTAGAGAAGACCATTATCCAACAACATGTCTGCTACCTTCGAACACGAATTTAATATTTGGAGAAGAAGTAGCAGAGCATTATGCAGGAGCGTGTTGTCATACAGAGAGGTCTCAATTAGTCCCAGGACAGGAATGACAGCCCACTTCTGAAAAAGGCCCAGGTTTCTCACATCTTCCTGATCAAACCTATAATAAATCATACACAGGTAAGAGCACATAGAAGCAATTAACCACGAAAGAAGGGAAAGTGATTGCAATATGGACTGTTTTGTTAACCTGATTTTGAGGCTATAAAATAAATTTGTGGAACATGGATTGTTCATCTTTTTTTAGATTATAAACCCCTCCAAAAATAAGATAAAGGGTGTTGTTAGAAGTCTGTCCTGTACAAATGAAACACAGAAACGATTTCATAGTTTTAATTGACTCACTTCAATTCATCCATCGGCCCCTTAGTTATCTAGATAACAAGTGCAGAGGGAAATAATAATCATGTTACATGGTATTTGACAGACACGAGCTAGTAAACTGAGGTCTAGCAAAAAGTCTTGACCTCTTGTCCCATACGATCTGCCTCAGTCACAGAGGGAGACTATTCAAGCATTTTGTGCCCATTTTCCTTATCTGCTTATCTGTCAAATATGGGTGGTGAGATCTACCCACTTCTTCTCAAGGGTGTTGTGAGAATCAAATGAGATAACGCAGAATCGCTCTGAAAGAGCCCAAAGCTGTGCACAAATGAAAAGCACCGCTCTCCTGACTGCAATAAGGCAAGTCTGCAAGGCCTGATTGGTCTACTGAATAATCCTATAATAAAGAGCTAATATGCTAATTAGACCAAACAGCCAAACAACCTTCCTGACAAAGCCAGGGCTGCAAGGGCCTGCTGAGGCTTCGAGGGCTGAGCCCCTTGCACAAATTTCATGCATCAGGCCTCTAGTAATAACAATAATAATAATGAGACACTCATTTCTATCATAGACAGAAATCGCAGTTTAACTTTCCTGCTAAACTCCTGGTTTGGAAGAAAGTGTTTTTGTTTTGGGGCTTGTTTGCTGATCTTTCAGCATTGCCCCAGGTCAGAGCTCAGCATCAGTGCCCCAGGGGTTCCAGGCGAGGGGCTGGCTCCGCCCCCAGACAACCTGAAGGCGAGGGTGGGAGGGGCCTCTCCAGGGATCCTGGCATCTGCTGCTGAGATCACACAGGGCCTGTCTGTTAGGGACCTCCCCCTGTGAACACTGAGGCCTAATCCTCACTCTCACTTTCTTTCCTTAGATACAGATTCACCCGTCTACTCTCTAGCTAGTGAATGAAATACAAAGGAAGACCAAGGACTTTTGTTAAGAGAGAGTTTCTTAGATTTTACATTTAGGACAAAGGACCCTCAATTGCAATGGAGGGAAGAACCCACGTACTCGTCATCAGGGCCAATGTGTCGACCGAAGAACATTTCTACGAAGCAGTCCAACAGCTCCGGAGTCGCCCGGTGCAGGTACAGCTGGTTGGCCAGCAAGGAAAAGCCACGATTCTTCAGAAACTTATCTTTCTGTTCCTTAGATGCTCTATTAAAATACACATCTAACAGCTAAGGGGAAAATTAGGACAAGTTAAAGAATGTATTAAGACTTTACGTAGCGTATACACATCAGACAGTTATTGCCCTTGTAAGTTGCCGTTTAATTTCATGTTATAGAACATAGAAAGCTAAGAACAATGCCATCTCCAGAGCAAAAGGGGACGAGCTTTGTCTCTGATGGCTACAGAATGCTAACGATGACTCCACCTTGGAGACCTTAATGCTTTTTAGCTGAACATGACACCTGGTGGGCTGGCCGCCTTCGTCAAGTGCACGTAGAATGTCTGTGCCCAATTCTGAAGGGAAAATGTCAGCGCGCAGCTTTGCGCTCTCTGCCGGCCCCTAGGTGTGCAACGCCTAGACCGTTTCTAGACGTCTTGCACATTACTCACCCTAAGCACAGGCCTCCATCCCACCCTCCCCAGCATCTTAGACATGACATGTGTGAAACCAAATTAATCATTTGCCTCCCAAACTCACTTCTTCCATGGATCCGTGCTCAGAGCCCAGGAGCCCACCTCCTGGCCGCCAGGGCTAACCTGTTCTTGCCCTGCCCCCCTGTGTCATTACAAGGCGCCTGTGTCAGGAACCCGTCCCTCCCCCGGGCCCCTGTGCCCCTCTCGCAGAGAATGCTGCCGTGCCCCCCCACCCCAGTGACCCCCTCACAGTGGGACAGGCTCTGCTTCCCACACACTCCTCTTACCTGAATGACTCCTCGCTGGATGGCAGGGGAGGGGTGGTTCACCAGGACCAGCAGCACCTCGGCCTGAATGAGCTTGTCCATCACGTCCTCGAGCATCGCGTCGGGCAGGATGAGGAGCACCCCACTGAGGAGCTCGTACAGCCCACAGCAGATGGGGACCAGAGCGTCCTCAGTGACCCTGCAACAGACCAGACACACCCACTAACACAGCGTCACGGAGACCAGGGCACGGCGACTTCCGTAAGAATGTGATGAGTGCAGTCATGAGCTGCTTAGCGACGGGAGGCGTTCTGAGAAATGCATCGTTAGTGGTTCCATCCTGTGCCATCACAGATTCTCTCTCATCAGTGATGCACTTACACGCACCTGGATGGTGCAGCCCACCACCGTCTAGGTCAGTGATGGTGAACCTTTTGAAATCGGCGTGTCAGCATTTTGAAAAACCCTAACTTAACTCTGGTGCCGTGTCACATATAGAAATTTTTTGATATTTGCCACCATAGTAAAACAAAGACATATATTTTTGATATTTATTTTATATATTTAAATGCCATTTAACAAAGAAAAATCAACCAAAAAAAATGAGTTCGCGTGTCACCTCTGACACGCGTGTCATAGGTTCGCCATCACTGGTCTAGGTGATCCCTTATTGCCTAAAATGTCGTGATGTGGAACATTCATAATGTTAACATTTGAAAATGTTTCCTGATTTAACTGAGATTCACAAATTTACCATCAGGTTTGTCACCGGTACTTTTAGGCATACAGTTTCCTAAACACTCTTCTATCCTACACCTGTGAAGTCCAATACCAAAGCCACTTGTGCACAGCCAGTTCCCAGCCACATAATGAAGACGTTTCTAGAAGCATAGAATTCTTAAGAGAATAGTGAAACATGTGGAGAGGGAGGGCTTGCAGACACGTGTGATACCTGGGAGTGTGTGCGGTGCGGAGGTAGTTGGGCTCATAACCCGGAGAGAAGGCCAGGCTGGCCCAGTCCTCAGCGCTCCTGTCGACCAGGCTGGGCCAGCGGCGCATGGGGACAGACCCGCTCTGCGAGGGGAAGGCCAGCCCCAGGCTCGCCACGGTGCTCTGGCTGCGCTGGAATGAGGCCAGTCCCCGCAGGTCGTCGGGGCGGCGTGGGTAGGACGCGTCCCCAGGGCCATCACCATCCGCTCTGGACTCTGCCTCCAACTCCTTCTGATCGACGCCGACCCCCGGACACTCTGGGGTTCCTCTGGGGACGCCAGCCACGGAGGCTGGTCGGGGAAGGCCAGCGTCCCCCTCACACACAGCCTCTGCGGACTCGCAGCTGCTGATGGACGCCTCCTCCTCGCCCTGCTTCAACGTCTCTGAGCTCCCGGGGGAGTTCCACTGCTCAGGCTGGGGAGCCACAGGGCTGCCTGCAGCACTCGGTACCCTGTTAAGGCCCCCGTCCGAGCCTCCAGCCAGTGTCCGGGGTGGCACGAGGGAGGACGTGGGGAGCACGGGCAGGCTTCTGGAACGCCGCAGGCTGGCCCCCGTCCGAGGGGGAATGCTGCCGGAGGAGCTGTGTCCTGGGAAGAGAGGAGAGAAATGCTACCTAAACACCTGGCCGGGCTCCTGCAGGAGGCAACCCATCCATGTGTCTCTCACATCGATGTTTTTCTCTGTTTCTCCCTCTCTCTCTAAAAATCAATGGAAAAATATCCTCGAGTGAGGATTAACAAAAAAAAGAATCCAGATAGGTCAACGTTCCTAGTAACTGATGTTTAAATTCCTCAGTGCCTGAATTTTTTTTCTTTTAACTGTTCTTTATTAAAATCTTCTAAAAATGTATGTCTTTTCCCATCTACTTAACAAAATACAGTATTAACTGAATGAGCCAAAATCATGAGGACGGACGACTCTATGCAGTGAAGTTAGGTGAAACGTAACCCCCCGCATCACTAGGACAGTCTGGGGAAGTGGAAGGAGTGGGCTTTGCAGCTGCACCTGGATTCCAGTGACAGTTCTGTGATTAGGGGGCGGGGTCACCACAGAACTCTATGACTGCTGGTTTCTGCACATTAGAGTGAGGGTGTGGAATGCTCTATGTGAAGGTTGCTTTAAGGATGAAGTGAGATCATATCGGCTATGCAGCCCGAGACAACACTTGGGAGGGGAGGTTTCAGTAAAAGCAAGGCCTCAGGTGGGTGCACGGCCAGTTTCCAGCCAGGACACACCCTGATTTTCTCTCTAACAGCGGAGATGAGCAGACTGTTGGGGTAAATGAGGAAGCAGCAGAGGGAATTCTGAACACAGAGAAGTTACAGGGCAGCCGGCATGAGCGGCCAGCACAGGGGAGACCTGGTAATGGCAGGCCCTCAACGGCACTTTCTCAGCAGCTTCGGCAGCGTGAGGACGTGAGGACGTGAGGATGGTGAGACAGGCAAGCGCAGGGTTTCAGGTCAGGAACACAAAGGCCAGGAGGGCAAGCAGCTGAAGGCGGGGTCAAGGAAGCTGCCGACTAAAGGGATCTGGGCTGGACAAGGAAAACAGGCAGGAGGCAGGTGGGAGGGCGACAGAGAAACCAGCCAGGAGCCTGCTACGGGGAGGGGGCGCCCCTGCTGCTGCAGGTCAGGGACAGACACGCGCACCTGGCAGGTCAGGTGGAGGGAAAGGTCCCAGGAGCAAGGAGCGTGAGGCTGGGAACCGATGGCCACTCTCACGGCGAGTGAGGGCCTCTGGAGTGATGAGCTCGGGTAGGAGGGGGGAGTAGGCCCCACCGAGCTCTGAGGACAGTGGGAGGTGAGTCAGAAGCTAAAGACAAATGCCCGTGAGAAGAGGGACAGAGCTGCAGATCAAGGTGGCCTGAGCCCATCCGCCCCCAGGCTCTCCTGAGCATGGAAAGAGGGAAATGGATTCCTGAACACATTCTAACACTTCCATTTGTTTAGTCGGAACATCAGGTGGTGCTGTAGTGATGAAACAGGAATCTGCCTCTACTCAGAACTGAACGGGGTTGTCCTTTCATTCTCATTGTTCCTACCTTCGGGCGGGGACGCGGTGAAGCCAGAGGGACTGATCAGCATCAGCCCCGGGCGGGGGCCGGCCCTCCCTCCGCTGCTGGAGTGCCTCAGGGACACGATCGAGTCCACTTTCTCCTGGAAGATCTTGCCATCTAGAGTCGGAAAATACACACACGTTGAGACAGCAACATTTTTAAGGACAAAACAAACATTTAACTTTAAAAGCAAATCTTACGACAACCTTTTATGAAAATACAAAAGATGTTCAAAGTGAAAAATACAGCACACTTTATACTAATGCACATCTGACCTGTGAGCACTGGACAATTTCTCACGATAGCTTTGCAAGACTACTACTTTCCTTGTGTACTTCGTTATTTCTATAGGTGGACAGCGAATTTATTCACTTTTTATGTTAATCTGATCTAAGGAGACTGCTCATCTCTCCATTCACTGAGGAAAGGACTCTTTCTTATATTTTTATATCAAAATGCTCTTCAGCCGAAGCCGGTATGGCTCAGTGGATAGCGCGTCGGCCTGGGGACTGAAGGGTCCCGGGTTCGATTCCGGTCAAGGGCATGTACCTTGGTTGCGGGCACATCCCTAGTAGGGGGCGTGCAGGAGGCAGCTGATAGATGTTTCTCTCTCATCGATGTTTCTAACTATCCCTCTCCCTTCCTCTCTGTAAAAAATCAATAAAATATATTTTTTTAAAAAATGCTCTTTAAGGCCCCAAATGACTACAAAATTGATAGCTGCAGCTTCATCCTCCTTTCTGAGTTTCCTACTTGTACATTCCAGGCTGGATTTCTTAACTGCAACACAAACAGGACAAATCTAAACCTAATGGTCTTTCTGCCCTGACTTCACTCCCATTCTATTCTCTGGTGGGTGGAAGCCCCCACTTCCCATGCAGAAGCTGGAGCCACCTGGACCACTGCCTTCCTTCACCCACATCCAGGCACGCTCCAGACTCAGGGACTTCAGTTCCCGTTTCCTGAACTCTCCCCGCGCCCCACACAGTGCTATACGCAGGCTCTTAGCACCTCCGACCTGGGTTATGTCACGGATTCTAAATGACGGACAGTGGTCGCCCGCATGTCCTCATGGCTACCCGCTCTCTCCATCAAATGCCGCCCCTGCTTAATGCCTGCCAGGGCTCTCTGCTGCCTCCTGACCTCCCCGGGCAAGAGAGAGTCTACGAGAACCTCCATGATCTGGCCCCAGACCCTCTGCAGCCTTTTCCTTACGTTACACTTCAGCCACCTGTTCTTCCAGCTCCCTGTCCAGCTGTCTGCTGTCCTGGGAGGCCCTTCCCTTCCACTCCTGGTCACCCTCAGGAACACCCCCTCCATGCTCCCTCTGTGCTACCATCAATAGACTAGTGTACGGCAGCCTTCCACACCACGTAACTACCTGTTTATGACTCTCCCCGCTTCTAGGCTGCGCGGTCCTTAGGGACGGGACCATATTTTACTCATCTTTGCGATGACTCTGCCCCCTGACCTTGAGGGCACGTTCATCACTAAGTGTGCATTGAACCTGATGCATCAATGTGCCTGATTGCTCCTGGATTTTCACTGCTGCTGAATCGTTTATTCATTTCTTACCTTCCTGAAAGTGGCTGTGTAACAACCGCTTTTCCTCCCTAGAGTTACTACCTAGCTTTCCCCAGGCCTGGGCTTGCTCCCTTTCTCACCACATCACATCTTCTGAGTGCTTCTCAACATCTATGAGCCCACCTTCCTTTCATGCCGATCCCTCTCTCTCCCGCCCGCCCAATGGCATTATTGCCAACAGTTCTCGCCTTCGCCTCCTCTCTCCACCTTCTTCGGTCTCATCTACGCTTGGAGCTTCGACTCACCTCTGGGTGGGTGGTCTCTCTTTCCTGAGTTTGCTGCAGTAAGTGACTTCTACCAGATCTTTTTGCTCGACAGACACAACAAAACAAAACCCTCCAACGAGCCCTAACTACGATGCTACCAGTTCCAATTCTTACATCCAAAGACTCAGTGAATACGCCCTTAGAGAAAAAATAAACGATGGTCCCAAACTACATTTATATTTACATTTCTCACTACTCCTTTATAGACCCCCTATACTTTGTTCTCTATTTTTCCTTCCTATTGTCCCTCCCTTTATGTCATTCTCTTCACCTGGAATGCTAACTCTCGCATCTGCCTATCAAATTCTACCCAAATTCCTCAGTGTCCGATGTGTGAGCTATTCACTCTTCTCGCCCACGGCTGCCGGCAGTTCCCTCGCTCCTCTGAGATCACGCAGGTCTTCCGTGGTATCTACGAGGTACTCACCGAGGACTGTCTCCTACTGTAGTTGTCTGAGTTATGCCTCCTCTCTTGGCATTTAAGCTCTCTGAGGGCAGAGACCATGCCTGCTTCATTTCACAGCCCTCTGCCCCGTCCCAACCAGGTGTAAGTAGCAGTTTCTACCACACAGCGGCCATTCAATGGATATCAACACACGTGGATGAAGTGGGAAGAAAAAACAAGAATGGAGACAGCCAAGGTCTAACAACAATGATCATACCTACCTATGTGCAAAGAAAAGTAGAAGTTTGTTGGGTTGTGACAAATGTAAGTATTAGTAGGAGGGTGAACTGCTAAAAGGAAATTGAAGATAATTGTCAATAATTCCAAATCTGGAGGAGATCCAAGGACTTCTGCTATAATTTTCACAAATGATCTACAAACCTCTCGGGGCATGGAGGTAAGCTGCCCCTCTTTGTGTTCCTGAAAAAATAAAAACCAAACTCTCTTTAGATTTATGGTGAACTGTCAACTTCACTTCCATTTTTCATTTAAGCAAGATACTCCTTTCAAGATAGAACTGTGTCGAGTTACCTCTCTGGTCTGACCATCTCCACCATTACATTGAGTTGCCATTTCTCAATTCAAGCAATTCTGCTATTACAACCATGAAAACCAGCGGCGATGTCACTCCAGCCCATGATCCTGGGGCTGGGAAAGCAGCCCAGCATCCCCACCAGGCACGCAGGCTGCCCCGGTTTGCATTCGGCGCCTCCGCTCATGCTGGGTGGCCTTGGGCAGAGTGGCTAACTCCAGCATTTTAGAAATAATACGGGAGTGAGACTGTATATTGAAATATCCAAATTCATGTGTCACTTTTCTGACATGGAAAGACTGAAGAAAAGCTTCACCGTCAGATAAACTCACTGCACGTTGGCCGACACGTTTCTAAATGGAAACATGTTTACAAGCAGGCGACTGGGAGGACCAGTGATGTGGACACGGCTCATAAATATTCAGTCAGCGAGGGGCCCCCCTTGTGTGTGCCGGGCACCGGGGTTAGTGTGATCGACCCTGGCCCCAGGGGGTTTACAGGAGGAAATAAACCGCGATGTCATCATCGACATCAAACTAACAAATCACACATGAGCAGAGTGAGAGCAAGTGGAGAGAGGGGAAGGGCAGGTTGCATTGTTATTTAAGAATGTGGACCAGGGTTCACTTAGCAATCATCGCGCCTCAGGTAAACCTCATTGGCTACGATGCTGCCACTGTGCAAAGCTGGGAACAAGTTAAACTTTCACTATTTGACGGTCAAGAGATTACACAATTACTCTTATAGCCAACATAACGAAGCATCTCAGAAACTCAGCAGTTGTTCCTCTTTTGTTTGTAACTGAGTTAGGAATAACGACAGTGTGAAGGTCAAACTATAAGAGGCAGGGGTTGGAAAACTCCCGGACTATTTGCTGAAAGAAGGGCACCAGGAAAGGAGGAAAATTCCATTGACAAGAACTTGAGCCCATAGTACTGGGGGTCACTAAACAGAAGTCACTGCAAAAGACACCTCCCAGAGTAAAGCTACGGGAAAGTACCTGCAGAACCTGACAAGTCAGCAGGAAGTGATGAACGGCTCGCGCTCGCAGCAGCTGCTTGACATTGAACATCTGCTGCGGGTGGTCTGCCCGGATGAGCACTTCCAGGGCCGCCAGCAGCGCCTCCCACACACCTGGCTGCGAACACACACCGACAATGATGTTGAGAAGATGTTCTTCTCTGCATAGAATAAATCCCAAGAGAGCTCACTCTTTGAAAATACTACCCATCCTTGAATGCTGTAAAAAGGTTGATGGTCTAGAGCACCTCAGGTCATACTGCATGCAATGTCACCTCACACCCAAGAGTGGCCACTATCAAAACAACAACCACCCTCACACAGAAAACAACATTGTTGGCGAGCAGAGCAACTGGAACCCCTGCATGTTGTTGGTGGGCTGGTAAAATGGTGCTGCTCTCACTGAAGAGAGCAGGGAGAGTCCTCAAAAATGAACAACAGAAGCACCACCTGATTCCGCAACCCCACTTCTGGGTTTACATATTCAAACAGAAAGAAAACAGGGTCCGGCAGAGGCATCTGCACGCCCAGCTCACTGCAGCGTTGTGCACAGTCGCTGAGATGTGGGAGCAACCACACGCCCAGCGACCGGTGGACGGATAGAGAAAATGTGGTCCCCACACACCCTGGGCCACTCTTCAGTCTTAAAAAGGGAAGAAATCAAGCCAGAAGCTGCAACATGGAACGTGAAGACATAATGTTAAGGGAGACAAGCCAGTCACACAAAGATATGGAGTAATTCCACTTCAATGAAGTATCTCAAGTGATCAAACTCATAGAAGGAGAAGGTAGGATGGTGGTTGCAGGGACAGGGGAGGGAGAAATGCGTAGAGCGTCAGCCAAGCACACAAGAAGGCTCTAGGTGCAGGTACCACTGCGTGCACGGGGTGCTTAGCACTAAGAGGGCACATCCCCGCCGTGTGTTGTCACCGTAAGGCGTAAGCACGTGCCTCTGCTTTCCTCCAGACCTTCCAGTCGAGCAGCAGCTCCTCGAGCAGTTTGACATCTTGGATGAGAGCCTTCGACTCCACATCTAACGTGAACTCTCCGTTCTCATCGACATAAAGAATCTCTTCACCACAGCAACCTTCCAGGAGGGTCTATGGAAAATTCGCACCAACACAGGATGCATTAATGATCGATTCATCCCAAAATTCAACAGGAACATTAAGCTTTCAACCTTAGCAATCATAACATTAAATTCAAAGGAAAACTGCTGAATAATTCAAAATTTCATAAAGTATCTTCAGTTTTTTTTTTGCAAACAACACAAATAATTAAAAAAAAAACACACACACAAAATTCTAAGTATCTGTATACGATTACTCAGTTTTTGTTTTTGTTTTTATTGTTTTATTGCTTATGATTACTCAGTTTTAAACATGGAATAAAATAAACCACATTCTGCTTTTATTTTTTAAATTCAGTAAGTCTGTTAGGCGACCAAACCTTTCCACCAAAGTGGCCAAGATCCATGCCACTACGTTTAGATCCCGACAATCTGAAGAGTTGGGGGCTGGGGCCCAGGGAGGCAGCGCCCTTAGCTTTAGCACTAGGCCCTCAGAGAGAAAGGCAACTGCTTTAGCTAGGAAGGGATGTGAGTGCATGATGGCAGCTGGATCGTGTAAGAGCTAACATGGCTTTAAAACAAGAACTCTACAGCAGCGTGGCCTCAGGGGAAGTTACCACTCCTGTCAGGAGAACCATGGGAGCGGAGCAACCACAGTGCCTGAGGGTCTCCATTCCACACCTGGAGGTGAGGGGCCCCCTAGAGACATCTCCGAGCTCATGCAGACCTACCATCCCACAAAGTTTTTTCTCTCTTACTCTTCTAAAATGTCTTAGATAAAATAAAAATGTAATTATTGAAATGACCGAACAAAACCAGAGAGTACCTTAGTTTGATTAAATGTGTGCTATTGCGATGCCTTCATCTCTTCAGGAATAACTGAAACACGAGTTGGGAGACTTCAGGAAGAGAGAAGACCCCTCACTGCACAGGACACCATGAGAATCAACTCTACGAGGACGTACCTTCAGGATGTGAAAGCCAACAGTGCATTTTGGTTTGATCAGCACCTGATGAATCATGGAGAGCCCATGGCAGTTCTCTAGCTCCTGTATTCTCTGCTGGTTGTACCTAATTAGCGAGAGTATAACTCGCAGTGCTAATGCTTGCGTTTCTTCACAGCTACTGAGTTCCACAACCTAAAAAAAAGGATAGGTTTTTTTCAGATTTGTTGAGAGTAAAAATTTAACATGTCACTATCTACCATTACGTGATTAATCCATCAGTTTCGTTTCAAAGTTTATTTTTTATTGCTCATACTCTGTAATTATTTAAGACTTATAAATAAACAAAACTGGAAGACAAACTCTACGCCATTTAGTCTCTAAAATGACAAATAAACTAAAACAACTAACAACCTTACAAGTCAGTGGCATTTTGAAATTACACAAGCTATAAAAATACATCACAAAATGACGAGGAGTTAAATGAAGAACTTTTACTTTTAAAACACTAAGGGAAATCTTCAACCAGATGTTAGGTGCAAAAAAAAAAAAACAGTCTGAAAAAGGCAAAAGAGGGGGGGAAAAAGATAGCTTAGGGTATGGCGAGTCAATTGCTAACAAAATATTTATAAAAACACTAATAATAACAAACACTGATATGGTCCCTTATTACAAAATTAAGAAAAAATGATTCCATTAAAGAAAGAAAGCCAGGCAGGGAGACTGTGGAAATGTGATTATGTTGCAGAAGTTATACTTGGGATAAGATTCTGAAGATGGGAGATGCTCAGAGTTGCTTCAGTTAGACAAGGATACGAGTGCCCGGGAGGCAGAGATGGCTCATAGCAAAGAGAGGTCTGGGCCCCTGCTCTGGATTCCGCCATCCCTGCAACAGTCAGTGACACTGCGGACTGCCTAACTGCCCCAGGAAAGGCACTCGCTGCCTCAGACGACTGCATGAAACATAACCAAGCAATTTATGCTAATATAGCACTCAGCGCGTGAGTCAAACTTTTTATATTTCTCCTCTTTAAAAAAAACTTCAAACTCAAATAAATTATTTTTTATACTTATTTGTTGCCCCTTGGGTTTTCCCCACATATCTGCAAGTTTCAAGGGAAAAACAAGTTTCAGAAGCCTTATTTTAAAGAGTACATTTCTTCTGTATTGTCACTACAGCATGCGTTTCTATCTCTCAGGCCATTTTAATCTTATAATTTAACATTCAATTATTTTAATTACATTTTGGGATAAAGGAAAACTTCTAAAATCTTCATGAATTAAAAGATTAACCATGTGTGGCAGAAAGCTTGATGACACATTAAATAATGTGAGATTTTTTAAAAACTATGTCTTTATTGATTTTAGAGAGAGAGGGGAGGAGAGAGAGAGAAACATCAATGTGAGAGAGAAACATCCATCGGCTGCCTCCCGAACATGCCCCAACCAGGGATGGAACCTGCACCCTGGGCATGTGCCCTGACTGTGAATCAAATCCCAACCTTTCGGTGCACGGGAGGGCGCTCCAACCAGCTGAGCCACACTGGCGAGAGCGTGTGACTTTTTTAACCTTAAAAGTGTAACATAGGTGATGTATAGTTTGTTTGTTTTTTGTAATCAGAAAGAAACCCTAACATTTATCAGTCATAGGAAGTTTCTCTGTAGGTGAAACGAAAAGCAATGACTCCTACCCTGGCGAAGAGAAAGACGAAGATCCCGGTGCCCCCGATCTCGTGCAGGACGCCCTGGAGAGTCTCACAGTGAGCGGGCCGCAGGCTCCTCAGCTGGTGGGGTTCCAGCGAGACGCTCTGCACGTCCTTCGAGCTGAAGGGCCTCTGGGAGAGCGGGGCTCTCGCCTGGCCTTTAAGTCTAATGACCGGCTCGTAGATGGTGTACTGAGCAGGGCAGCTCGATGTGTAGACAACCGAAAGGCTTTCCTGAAACACAAACAGTTTCCCTCAGAAGGAAGCAAAGCTTAGGAAGTTATCAAATAGCAAGTAAACCCTCCAAAGTAAAAGACACCCAGCAAATCTTTTCTTTCTTTAAAGAGACAGACACACGAAACAAGGTGAACGTGAGCCACAAGGCGGCCCCCCCAGAGGAACAGGTGTGGGCTTAGTGACCAACAGTGAAAACACAGCAGAGCTGAGGTTCCAGCTTTGATCATTTTAGAATGAACATGAAATTATACTTACTATTCCCACTGACAACAGCTAATGCTATACCACACCCATTGCATGCCCACGCCAGCCACTGCTCTACCAACGTAAATATTAACCGATCTTTTCAACCTCATGAGATGGGAATTTGGGATCAATGTATGTAATTCTTTTCCTTTCAGTTTGCTCCTGGGCTTGAATTTAAAGATAACTACAAACATGCAATATACAGATGATGTATTATGGAATTATATTTGAAATCTATGTAATTTTATTAACCAATGTCACTTCAATCAACTTAATAAAATTTAAAAAATAAAAGTGACTAAGATCAGAGATTGCTTTATATGAGAATAAAGTCCCGGACCATCAGCCCACCTAACTAAAACCCAATAGAACTTTCAGTATTTCTCCCATACAGAGAGGAATTTCGAACAGCTTCTGGCTCCGTTACCTGACCCACTGGCCATATACCCCAGGACCCCCCAGTGGATCCCTGAAATCACGGACAGTACTGAGCCCTATATGCACTGTGTTTTTTCTTATACATACGTTTCTCTGATAAAGTTTAATTTATAATTAGGCTCAGTGAGAGAATAACAACAATAATAAAACAGAACACAACAACATACTGTAGTAAACATACATATGTATAGTTACTATAAAGTTAAACATAAAATGAAAACTTACAATTAAGAGACCAATGTCCACATCTTTCTTGGTCATAAAAAGCTCTCTGATTTGGTCACACTGCAAAATGTCTTTATTGATGTATTTGGAGTAGTCACTCGCAGGCGTGCCGTGTTTACAGGGCATGATGGAGGTGTGGCTGGGTCCGCAAGCATAGAGGTAGAAGGCCTCTTGGGAACCAACCTTAGCCCCTGAATAGCAGAAAGATACAGGTACTGATTCAAAACATTCCAAGCAGGATTTTCCACAAAAAGCAAGAAAACAACAATTTTTTATGCCAGATTCTTTTAGTTGTTTATTGTATCTTATAAAATTGACTAAAGCCTCAATTTCCAAATTGATGGAAGATGAATTAATATATATAAAGTTAGCTCTTGATAAAATTAAATAATGAAGTTTCTATTTGCTCCTTAAACTAGAAAACAGGGTGGTTTTTGTTTTATTTTTTCAATAAATGGAAAGTATACCTAAGTAAATTCCTTTTTAAAATGAAATGATTTGATATCTTTATTCCTTCCATCCATCTATTCAATAAACACTGTCTGAATGCTATTATGTGTCAGGTTTAGTGATATATTTTCTTAAATCATATATTTCTTTTCCCTAAATTTTGGTATTTTTATAGAATATACTGAAATTATAGAAGAGGCAACCATTCCAAGTTTACCTGTCACAATACTGCATTTTCTAGGATTACCAAATAAAGTTGATTTAAGATAAGCTTCTTTTTTTTAAAATATATTTTTATTGATTTTTTACAGAGAGGAAGGGAGAGAGATAGAGAGTCAGAAACATCCAATGTGAGAGAAAACATCGACCAGCTGCCTCCTGCACACCTGCTCCTGGGGGATGTGCCCGCAACCAAGGTACATGCCCTTGACCCAGAATCGAACCTGGGACCTTTCAGTCCGCATACTGCATTTTCTAGGATTACCAAATAAAGTTGATTTAAGATAAGCTTCTTTTTTGGGGGGTAGTGAGTAGGATGTGTACCGCTGCATTAAATGCACATCTCAATTATAAGAAACACCAGAAGCCCAGTGCGCGAAATCGCGTGGCACCGCCCACCCGCGCCAGCGTCAAGTCCCTGCCGGCACCCACACACTCAGTCTCCTGGTGACCAGTCTTTGGTCGTTCTGCTGTGACGGCGTCACGACCACAGGGTTTTTATGATTGAGATTTAGATTATAAAAATGTTAAAATATTTTAAAAGTCATTTTGAAATCTAGGAAATACAGTACTTATTAAGTACAAGTAAAGAAAGAGTGATTAATATTTTATCCAGGATAATTTACTTAGTTTAATACATGTTAACGGAAAGAAAAATTAGGAAACACTTTGAAGGGGAAAATGTACCGTTGAAGAGGAGCAAATTTCCCAGGTGCCATTTTCCAGCCAACGGCAAAAACTCCTCTTGGGATGATAAACTGTGGCCGATCATGCAGAATGTCTTATTGCTATCTGATGACAAACTTGTTTTTCTTGGAAGCATAAAATCCAAAGTAACATCAGGTTTCCTACAGTAAAACAGAGTTAGAGCAATCACTTCAGTGAGGACTAAGTACTAAGTACTTTTAAAGCATGAGGTTGTTTAATAATGGGAAATGCTTGAACAACCTCCTGTGTTCAGTATCAAACAGGTAACGGGAGAAAGACAACTAACTCTGTTGTCTCTAAGGTGCTGGCTGCCCACAAGCCCCGGAAACGGGAGCAGAATGGAGGTGCCTGAGGATCGGGCCCCAGGCCACGGGAAGGGACCTGACTTTTGCTGCAAGTTTTCTGAGCCACGTGACTTCTGCACTCTCACAACCCAACCACCTGCCCCGAATTTTACCAAGACGTCTCCCATTTTGGTAAACAACTCCTAACGTCTCAGGTCCTCCTCTGAGGCCTTCAAAGATTCAGGAAAAAACAGTATCACTTCTTCAGGTTTTGCCCTGACTCGCCACTGAAATGCCAGTGTTTTTTTGCATTTTCTGGTGTGTTTTTTCAATGCTAAGTCATCATGGAGCTTTTGATTCATCTCTTGTTTTTGCAGGAATCCTTTCAGGAAGAGATAAAACTAAGGCTTTCTCATCAAGACCCTTGTTGGGGGGACTTCATCATCTATTTGAGACTTAGGGTGCCAGGCTCCACCCCTATCGTAGGAATGTTTTAAACTCGACATGAAGATAATGAAGGTCACTTCTAAATGCAAAGTGTGTGCCTAAGATAAAGACTTAGAATAAACTAATCTGGTTAGTTCTTAATGAGAAATGATACTTTGGTATACATTTATTTTAAAACCTTCCCTAAGGCTTTGTGTTCCATGTTTAACATGAATGTATCTGTTTATAGGAATGCTTTTTAATAAAGGAAATGAGCTACCTTCTTTTTTTAATTGAAGTTTAAATAACATAACATTAGAGATAACTTCCATCACCGCCTCTCTCTGGAACCAAATAAATGGCTGTGACTGGAACACTACTGACACCTAGTGGCAGTGTGACAATGATCAATGCAACATGAATCAAACAAATATTAAGTATTTACTATGTACCATATTTTCCTATAAGATTTGTGTGCTGTTAATCAAATATAAGTTAATAGAAAATAAGTTGTTTTTCAATGTTATATTATTAAAATGGCCTCTTAAAATGTACTATTTGTAGAAATCATTCTATGTTAGTTCTGAAAGTGATAAAGGCAGTCCCAAATTTCAATCAACAGAATAATATATGTGTCCTTGGTCACTTGCTCATTGCTTGGTGAACAGATCAAATCATTAACTTGTATCAAATGGCAAAAAAGCTCCTTCAAGGTGATGCAGAAATAAGTGGGCTTATATTTTTCTCTAGTCATTCTGATTTCATTTGAATCCCTGATTTTAATTTAGGTATTAAAGCCTTATTGGTCAATTAAAATAATCCTTCCAGGCTAATTTTATAATATATGGGCTTGAAGGACAAAACTATAGTGCCTTGATGTAATATATATTCCACATAAATGTCTAAATGTCCAAATTTCTGTATTGCTCCCCTAAACCCAGATATTAATTTCCAACAATGACTTCTATGGGAAATTACTTTTGAATGGAAGTGATAAACAGGAAAATATCTGACTCTGACCTAGGTTCCTCTGCTAACATAGGAATTGGATCTGTAGTGTTCCATACGTTGTTTTAGAAGCTATCACAGACTGACCTTAAAATTGTAACTGAGGTTAACAAGTATTTACTAAAACTGTTTCATACCTCTGTCCAGAGACCCACATGGAGAT